AAATTCTGTGTACTGGATTTCAGGAATTTGCAACAAGCAAATGAGTTTGCAAGCTTTGTACACCGGTTTGAATGGGCTTATCCTATAAATAATGACCAAATGAAAAAATACATTTCATTTTTGAATAATATGTACATATATTACCTCCCAACAACCCATATTTTGCTGCAGTAGACCCTAATTCTGGACCAAAAAGACTGAAAAATAGGCATGATTTTGCACAAATTGGGGTATAACTTGTATATCAGAAGTAAGCTTAGTAGGGTGGGGGTGGGGGTAGGGATTAGCATTGTCCAAAGCATAGATACAGGCAATACATAAGTCATTCAGACCACATACATTTTTAAATGGCAGTTAAAGGTAATGTTCAATTATATTGAATATTATGAACTAAACAATAAATACTGTATAGTGAAATAAACATAATATTAGCATGTACCTGTCTCTTGTGTGCAAGAGAAGAAACCATTTCATGAGTTGAGGCAATATCAATGTTTTAAGTCCCAAGGAAATAAAAAAAGGACAAGTGCCCTGTGCCTTAGTGCAGTCTTTAGTTCCTACATAAATAGCAAACTGCTCTTTTACAAACAATGCATCAACTCCCATTATGGTCACCTCCGTAGTCTATGAAGAACAGATACCCTTCATAACAAGAGGTTGAGACAAAACTTTTTTTAAAGAAAAATACTCATGAAGACATTGAAGCTAAATGCCTTTGTGGCTAGGCTCTGGTAGGAGCAACTGTTACTCATCCTATGAGCTCTATGCTAATTCCAGTGCAGTGACTTAGTACACAGATTACTTTATGTAGCTTGATCATGCTTCTAAAATTGAGTTTAATTGCTAAGAGTGGCAATCAATCGCTAAACGGATGGAACAAATGGCTTCCTATGGGGTTAACATAGGAAGCCATTTTGTTTTTTCGTTCACTTTCTGTTCTAGTGACAGTAATGAACAGGATAGAGTGAATTTCCCCAATGCAGCCTTTTCAACATGGAGAAACCCTTGATATCATGTTCAGGTCTCAGGGAACCTCTGACAATAATTACAATATCTACAGCTCACAGTTTATTAGCATGGTGGTCACTGGGAAGAAAGCTTCTTACATTTGTGCTGTATGGGAAGAATGTCCCCTTACAGATAGATTAAAAAAATTGCTGGTGTCAGTGGTTATGTATCTGAGATGCAGAAATTACTCATAGCTCAAGTAACCCCTTGCAACCTCTGGGGAACCCTGGTTGAGAAAGGCTGCTCTGGGAGGTACACAGATAGCAATAAAAACCTGGCAGAGTTTTTATCCAATCCAAAACGAAAAAAAATGGCTTTAGATACACTTTATTGACTAATACAGGCTACTTGTGTTTTTTGCAATATTTATTCCATCTGTCTGTTAATATGTCTAGTATGTGATGCAACAGTAAACTACTTACATCAACGACTAATTACAAAGGTCCTTTGCTTCGTGATAGGTCTACTTTAAACGTGGAATGTATTTTTGCCTAAAAAAACCCACCGTATCCCCTTTACAATAGTGATACAGACCTCAGATTCAGACATGCCTCCATTCTCGGGCATGTGACCTGGCCAAGGTCATCAGTGTTTACAACCTATATATAAAGCATGCACTGTCCTAGTGGTTTTCTGTTTCACATGTGCTGAACCTGGCATTGAGAATAATGGGCACGTCCAGTTCATGTGCTGCATAGAGAACCTGACAGAATGCTTCAAGCTGTAAACATGCCCACTCATTGGTGGACCACATCAGTAGGAATATGGAGAGGTTTCCTTCTTAAGTCCGTAGTGTTCTTGGCGATTGTGGTGAGGACAGTGAAAGGGGTTAGATATGGAGTTTTTTTGGCAAAAATTCAGTTATTCTTATAATCTTCAAATATCAGTGTTGGCTTAGGAGAAAACAGACTTGACTAATATTTCAGTGCCATGTGTGAAAAAAACTGTAAAGGGATATTTATAAAAGACGAACATTTTGTACTACAATTCCCAGTATTTTATTACTTTTCTGTGTTACAGATGTGTTGTATGTATTTATATAATTGCACAATGCAATTGCGTGTGATTGTTGTTCTTTCTATTTATTATTATTTTGGTGTCACAAATATGTTGTACATATTTGTTGTCCTGTATCCAATAAAGAGATGGTCCGTTCAGTGGGTGGTTTGGTCATTTTTATTTTCCAGTGATGTGTTAAAAAAAAAATGTTAAATTATTAAAGCTGAGCTCTCCCCACTGTAAGGGTTTAATGCTTGTTTCGTCTTGGAGGAACAAAAAAAGCAACTATATTTACCTTATGCACCTCCCCCTAGTTGCCTACTCCTCTTTCTGATGCCCTGGGAGGTGGACGGGCTCTTGGTGCCCTTACATCCAAAACAAGGCTGCTGGTCAGAGTGCTGGGACCAGTGAAGTGGTAAAGAGAAGTAGCCTTAGGGGACCAATCGTGCAGTTGGGTGGAGGCCTACAGGAGCAGAAGATAATGTAAGTACAGTTATTTCTTATTTAAAAGTTGTAGCCTAATACTTACCTTGGTGAGTCAAATCATCACTCTCCTGAAAAGCTATGGGCAGCACATATATAGTTCATAATATGAACAAGTTTTTGATCTGTTGCAACTAGTTGAAACATTGTAATTTTAATACAGTTATAAAGTTACAATGCACTGTAGCTATTACAGCGCTAATCAAAGCTGTCCATTCAGCATAGGTTTGGTGATTGGAGAGCTCTAGCTCTGACTCAGCAGGGGGCTTATCGAACCTCTACAGAGAGACCACTGCTTCCGTGCAGAGAGCAAAGGGCTTTTCTACAGCAGGTAGGCAGGAGAGAGGCTTTTCTAGTCAGGCTGTGGCTGCTTTCTAAAGAAAATTAATTGTAAGACTTGGCACACCATTTGTTTTGCTACATCTGAAATGCATTTAATTTATTTATACTGATTGCTCAATCGGGCTTTATAAAATAGTTAAATGTTAAAATATATATATATTTTTAAATACAGCTGTCAATAGTTATACACTAAAGAAAGGGAGATAAAGTTACACATCATAGGCTTATGTATGAAGATCCACATGTACACTTCTGGAAACTGCAGTGTGTAAGGAGGTTCATTCTTATCTCTTATTATAAAAAAAAAGGGTCTTGGCTCTGAAGTCAAGGTGTTCTATGCCTTTAAAACAAAAAGATGTCTGATTGCCTGCAAGTATAACATAAAACTCAGATTACTGAGATAAATATGGCAGCTGCCATTGCTGACCTCATAAGGAAAATATAATAAAGAGGCAGCTTTGGCTGCAATATGCACCTTCAGTTCAGATGTGCCCACCACAGTTCTTCTTTTTCACCCTTTCAAATTCTACCCGCCAAAAATTGAGGACATACTATTAATGTAGGCCATCATGGCTCTGATCCCTGGGGGGATGTCATCAAGGTGCCCTTTATTCATAGTGTACTGATGAAGAGTCAGTGCTGCTCTCTGCACCTCCAAGGACCATGGAGAGGATCAGGAGAAGAGAACCCAGCATGCCCTGTGACCATCCAGAAGACA